TCAACTTTGCGTCCGATAAATTCAGGGCAATCAAGTAACGTGGAAGGCGTGTTAAGTGAGACAGACTTTTCTTCTTATTTGCATCCAATTTAGTGCAACGCTTTCAAGTAAAATTTTGTGTCATTTTATTAGGCGCAAAGTTAACAAAAATTCCATCGCAACTCCGCTATACGTTTCACCAATTTTATAATGTCTTTTGCATCTACAAATATCAAAATGTATTTTTTGTTATTTTACAACTTTAAATCGGATGCAAATATTTACGTTGTAAAAATTCAACACAAATATCATATATTATTTCCATCATCGCCACTAGTGTTACTTTTTATGATTTCAACTTTCCTTTCAGCATCATCACTCTCGTATCTGCTTGAGTTGTCGACAAATTTGCCGATCATCACCGAGTGAAATGGAAAGTGTTTTGTCCAATAGCTATTCGACACATCTAGAAAGTGTGAGGTGACCCGTGCACTAAAAGATAAGAGGGACCGACTGATTTTTTGGTGTGGATTTTTTTTCCTATTTTATATGTAGGGTGTAAAAGAATCGAACATGAGCAAACTGAGCAGTTGTTCATATTCGTCTCATTTGAAATTATTCATGCTCGAACTCAGCTCGTGTTTGAATTGGTGTCTACGCTCCGTTTGTTTCGCCCAATTTTGACTAAGAGCTCTATTCTCATAAGACAACACAAAAACATTTATTTAATTTTTATTCTAAAATGCTACCTTTTGATTTATTTTTAAAGAGAGATGTACCACGAATTAAGATTTTGTTCCGTTGATTTGTTAGATATGGACGGTTGAGTTTGCAGGAGGGCAGTCCGTGGAGAGCTTTGAGGCATTTACATCCATACCACCCATTTCTTATTTATTTAGATATAGAAAATCTAAACGTGCTGCAGGCATGGGCGTTGGTCTGGCAAATTTTTTAATTAGAATATCTGCATGCCACCCAAATCTTACCGACTACGTACCGCAACGCCTACAATCTGGGAAATAGTAAGGGACCATTTACAGAGAACCAACCAAATTCTATATATTTATATATTTAAATTTATATTTTTTATAACCCTATTTTTCTGAATAATTTATCTGCATGTGTTTCTTCACGTGCTTCTTTATTTATTGTTAGAGTGTTAACGTTGTGTGAGAGGAATAATGACGTGTTAGTGTTGCATTTGATGCACATGAAGAGGAATGAGTTGAACTCCTGGAAGGAGGCCAGATATATCCTTTTTTTTATTTTATTTTGGGCCAGTGATAAGATATAGCTTTGTCAGACGATAACTTGGTGAATTTTTCCAGTAAAAATATTATATATATTGCTTTTTGGGTTTGGTTAAATTATATGAAATAGTATAATTAAAAGTTGCTTTAAAATTTATATTTAATTATAAAGATTGTTTGATGGCATGTCATAAATATTATTCTAATTTTAGAGTTAATAGACATTCAACTCTAGAGCGAATATTACGAGCAGAATCATATGGGTAGATTGCTGGTATTGAAAGTATTATGGTAATATTATGATGAATATCACTATAATAACACCACAATACAGTCGAATCAACTTACATTCAAAACTATCTTATTCGTACGTAATATCATTCTCTTCAATATAAGCTCAATTTAGATGTATCGAATGTGATTAAAAACTTTAGGGTATTACTTAAAGGTTTAAATAATTTTTAAATTTTGCAAGCTTATAATAAAATTAAATTTTTTATCAGAGCAATAAAGAAATCTCAAGAGCATTCAATTTTGAAGCCATTATGGTATTTAAATACTGAATGAATGGTGGAATAGAACAATAATGTCAATTTGGGGGGGAAAGAGCTTCGAGTTCTAAAAATAACGGAGCATTATCTTATGACAAACACTACTAATCACGACCAGAGGCCATCTACTATTGTTTAGCTAGTACTGCCAATTATTATTGTTTGCCAATTAATATAATCATCAACTCGTTATTATAAGTCAATTGTCATCTCACTATAGAGAAGTATCCAAGTAGTGTTGACGTTTTCGATGCTAATCGAGTATATTTCTGATGCTAAGCCCGATTAACGTGGGATTATCGGTGAAATAATTTTGATGTTAAAATTGGTGTCACTCATTGATTTTGCTTCGATATTTGCGTCGAATTTTTATTTTCGTCCAAATTTAAGTCTCAAAAGTCTGTCGCAATAAATTTTTATTGAAAAAACAGACGATGCTAGTTAACTACGCATTTGCGTCGAAACTAGCCAACGCTAATTAGCGTCCACCGTTGTAAGATGCTAATTAGTGTCGGCTAAGTCATACTCTAATTAACGTCGACAATGTTCGACAATAAAGTGTCAAATTAGCAGCGATAAGTATTGAATTGATTATTGTAGCCTTTAGTGTCGGAATATTCCGATGCTAATCCAACACAAACGCAAACTTGTAACAAACAGAAAAAAAAATAGCAAGACAATTAGATTTCCACAAAAATGAAGAGTTTCATACACATATCGAAACTCTTCATTCATCATCATGATTCATCTGACAAGCTCCTCATGCTGAGCCTGTAAAAAGCTAGAGCCACCCAAGCCTACATGAGCACTTAACCTCAAATGCTATCCTATTTGTTACTAGGCCATACACTCTTAGATTCTTTTTCCTCGTTGTCAGTGTCCATAAAATCGAACTGAGTAGTAGTAGACTAAAGACCATTGCTGCTAGAAGACGTCGAGGTCTGGCTAGCCATCTCCCCCTATCTCTCCCAGAGTACTCGCACTACTCATACATAACAAAATTCAAACATTAATTGGTATTTTAAATATTAATTGACAAATTTATAGCCACCCCCCCCCCCCCCAGCTCAAAAAAATTGAAAATTAATTTTTTTTTTTAACTTACATTGACATGTCAAGAGTGGTTGAATACCCACTACCGTGTGTCCTTGCACTAATATTGTGAGGACATGCAACTTTACAGTTGATGACTCTCAATCAAGCTCATCGACATGTATACATGATCAAATAAGTCACACAATTATATAAAGCTGCAAGCTTCTAAAATTTGAGATAATATCACCAGTCTTTGATTGTGCTCTGTGTGGGGGATCAAACCTCTAATGTGTAGTTCGTCCCCTCTAGCTTCCTTAGTCGTCTGGTTCTGTTGGTTTTTTTTGTATCTTCTTATGGTATTCTGGAGAGGCACATACTCTATTTAACTCAGCCTAATCTTCTCACCGCCCCACGAGGGATTCTGTCCCTTCTTTCATGTTGTAGTGAATGTATCCCCGATCCTGTGTTTGGCACGAAGCTCAAAAAACTGTCAGTTATGCTAGTAATGTTTCGTAAACCATTCACTTCAAATATTTGTCATATCAGGGCACTATGATTAGGCCCTTAATAAAGATCTATCAAGCCTTGGTCTGTAATTATGTTGCTTGTATTATAAACCTAGTAGAAATTTTAAAGCCTAATTCATTTTGCTTTGTAGAGTATAATTACTAGATGCACTGATGAATTGAAAAGTAACTTCAAAGTACATGTAATTTGAAACATTTTGGAATTTTTTTTTTTCGATCTTCTTGCATTACAAGATAGTCATCCCCTATGTTCAAGCTCTCAGTAAAGAGCATGCAAACATTATGAATTGTATGTCTGAGTTAATTTCTAGAGCATTCCTATAATAATTGAGATTTTTTTTTTATTAAATTTAATCTTACTGTAGGAAAGTTGCACTTCATTGCAGTTTAATATAACATACAATGTTGTTGCTCAAAGCTCTCTATCCTTGAGGTAGCTTGTACTATGCCTACCTAATGGCTCACCTGATATATGGAATTCTGATAATTCAGTTTGTGAAGGCATCTCAGCAACAGTTTCATCAAAAAGATAGCCCGTAATCAAAGTAATAAGAATAAAAGTTATATATCTTCTATAATAGACATGTCTCGCATATTGTTCCCTCCGGATGTGTTTTATTCTTACCAGTCTTTTTAATTTTTTTGGAAATCTGCACGGTTGAGTCATTTTAGAGAAAAAAGATAATAGTTCTTTTAAAACAAATGAAATACCTCTCAAAGGAATACATCCACCTGTACTACACTGAACCCCCCAATATAGCCTCATAGCACAATGTATGGGTAGATGTTCCATTGAGTAAAAAAAAAAATTGGAAGAAATATACATTCGAGCTTGCGTAGAATTGTGGGAATACTTGCACCAAGACTTCGTAGAGAATCAACATTCAAAGTGCATGCATACAACTCCTTGAAAAATGTTCTAATTTCGATCAATTGATCAAGTACCAACTTTGACAGGACATTGAATGTAATAAATAATGAGCATTATATAAAAATATGACAATCACAACTTTTCATACCAAATGTTTTACCCATTCCAATTTTAACACATCGACTTATGTTAGAAAAACAACAAGTCAGAAACTTCAAAGAATGCAACCACTCAATGATTATTTTTCTTTGATCTAATATGAGACAATATGTAACTTTGGGCTTTACTATTTTACCAGTATTTGTCTCTTGCAGTTGTAACCCCCTCTTCTTACAATACTCCCTCAGGTTCAATATTACTTAGACATTGTCTTTTGTTTTTTTCTTGATATCCAAAACAATATTAAATATATTATCAGAAATTTTTTTCTCAATATGCATAACATCCAGATTATGTCTTATTAGATTGGTTCTCCGGTATGAAAGATCCCAAAAAATACTTTGTTTCATCTAGTTATGTGTAACTCTAAAATCTGGAAGACGACTCGAGGCTAATTTTGATCTCTCAATAATCTTTGACACCTCACTGATCATCTACAATATATGGCTTCCACTTATCCTTGGGGGAGGACTTGATGTTTCAAGTCTATTTTTGAAAAAAATGCATCTTTATTCCTCTGGAATGGATGATCACGAGCTAAGAACCTGCGATGACAATTGAACAAGGAAAATTTTCTTACATGCTTCAAAGTGAATGCCTTAGAAATGTCCATGCAGTAAGGGCATACCAATTTCCCAGTTATGCTCCAATCAGATAGCATCCCATAAGCCGGGAAGTCTCTGATTGTCCAAATAAGATTATTGGCATCAAAGGAACTGGAAGCTTGGGAATTTTTCTCTTTCTTGGTTTTAGAAGGCTTCTTCTTTCCCGAAAAAGATACAATCACGGGTGCATCTTCCTCATCTTGCTGATTACCTTCTTCTTTACCAATGGCTGTAACATTAGCAACATTATTGCCTTGAGAAACTCTGTCTTTCTTAGATTTAGAAGCTTTCTTCTTTCCAGAAAACACGTTCGAAATCAGTTCATCTTCCTCTTCAACATTATCTTTGCTCATCTTCGCCTCCTCGTCTTCGGCACCAGCAAGCTGCTCGATCTCCAAATCCTCCTGGCCTCCATGGCGCTGTGATTTGGCCCCGCCGCCTCCCTTCTTATTCTTCTTCGACCCTGTGTTGATTGAAGCGCGGTTTTCTTTCTCAGATGCCTGAACTTGCTGTTCGTCTATCGGCAAAGAGTACTCGTCGTCGTCGATCATCACCGTCTTCTTCCGACCCATCGCTGGCCTCTGCTTAGTGATTTCCGGTTGATCAAACCCTACAACTAAGGAGCTATCTGGTAACAAATTTAAAGCAGTATTGTACCTGGATTAGACCCAAATCCTGCCGGACAGTCAGTATGAACAAAATATTCGGGTAGAAGCGGTGCGAAAAGGAAGAAAGATGGGAGTTCGGGACTCTGATCCCGCCGCTGCCTCCCTAGTTAGCTCCAATTGCGAGTGTATGGCGAGTAACGAAGGTGATGGTTTCGGGCGAAACCTGGAGAGGGATCGCGCAGGAGAGTGAAGGGTATCTAGGCGAAACTGGGAGGAGCATTGAGGCGAGGGTTTCGGGGAGAGAGGGGAAGATGGGATTTCTTTTTATTTAACTTAATTTTATACATTTAATTGATCACTAATTAATTTTCAAGTAATATATTATCAAATTAATTGTGCTTAAATAAGATTTTTATGTGATTATTTAATAAAAATTACAGTTTAGAACTAGCATCATCAGATTTTTATTTCTTGTAAAATATTTATTTTAGTTAAATTAAAAAAGTATATCCATTATTTAACTTCTTATTAAAATATGGTTACTCGTTTCTCAACAGAACCTGCCCTATTCTCCAACTCATTGTCGAGCTAGACCCTGCTCACATTTCTTTTCCAAAACGCCAAAGAAATGTCTCCAACTAAAGCCAACAGTCTTTCTTCGAAATTCTACTAAACGGGTTGATCCTCCCATTTTACCAACTTATCCTGCTATCTCCTCACCAAGTGTTCCCCGACGGTGATAGAGAAACCAACCTGCCAGCTATGACGGGGCGGCTTTCCTTTTTTTCACAAGAAGATCTGGATGATTATCCCAACCCTCGGTAGCTTACGAGTTTACACCCATCCCTGGTCGGGTATGGTTTTTTTTTTTATTTACTCCGCTCCTTGTAGCCTTTACTCGAATTTGAGCAAGTGTTTCCACAACCCTCTTACTTGACGAGGAATATGTGCATCTACTATAGAATCTTCCGTGTCCTTTGCATATGATCGATCATTTATTCTTTCAATGACAATTTTAACATATATGGGTATTATTTCTTCGATAGAACTCTCATATATTTTATTTCTATCAAATTCTCAATGATTTTATTTTGGTACGCGTAAGTGCTTTAGTTCAATTGTTCAAAAAACATTAATATTTCAGGTGATCTATATATAATTATTCCTATTTTCTATGTTTTATTATATTATCAAATTAACTAAGCTACTAATAATTTACAATCTCATATTTTTCCTTTCAACATTGGTATTCCATGAGTGCGTTAATTGCTCACAATGAGATTTCAACTATTCCTATTTTGCAAATGTGTAATATCACCGAGTTCATCTTTCATTGGTTTAAATGATTCATTGATCTAGATGATGATGTAAATAGATCCCTGGAGACACCTCATATAGAAAAAAAATTAAAGTTATGGACATACAAACTATGTTAGATAGTTGCTTTGTGGATGTTATAATACTAATATATATATATGATACGCCACCAACAAATTTTTATCATCTGACACGAATCTCGGTGCAGTTTTTTGAACAAGAAACAATCAAACTTCGATTAAGAGTTATCCAAAAGTCATCCAGAGCTCCGATTTCAGCAAACTTATAGTCGAACTGATCGGCTCGATGAGACGGACCTAATGATATGAAAGTCAGACAAATCTAAGTCAAATCAAGCCCGTATCAAATCAGGCCCGGATCAATTTATTAAACAATTAATGGAGGATTTCCGGAGGTATTTGAAAGGTCAAACGGATATCAAATCTAGAGAGTTCATTGTCCAATCGAGCGTCTCAACAAGATGAATCCAACGAGCTCAAGATTGCTCAATTTCAACATCGTTAAATATCTATGTCTATCAAACGTCATCTGATCAAAGGAAGCTCTCCAGACCGTCCGATCAAAATGGTTAATATTCCTGCATTAATTGCACTCAAAATACTATAAATAGAACCTCACCCCTCATAAAGAAGGAGGGAGACTTAAGAGAGAACTTGAGGCTTTGAGAAGGAGCTTAAGTCAAAAATCATTCTCGTCATCCTCCGTCGACCACCGCCGACAGTCATCAATTGTCGTCGGCTACCGTCGATCACCGCCGACCTCCTTCAACCATCGCTGACTAGATGTCGTCAGTCGACGTTGTAAATTGGAAAGTTAGTAACTCTTTCCTGCCTGTGGGACAAGGGGCATCTGTAATCATCAACTTATAGTTGATTTTTACAACTGGGTCAGGCCCCAAGATTTTTCCCTTTTACTGATTTTCCACATAAGAACTTCTAGTGTTATCACAGCTTGATTCATTTTCATCTGAGTGTGTGCTGAATCCTCGCACAACGCTAAGATGATAATCCATTACTCTACATATATATATATATATATATATATAGGGTTTAGAAGGAGGAAGAATGTTATTGTAGTGGTAGAGGTGGTCCCATGTGCCATTGTGGGTGGCAAGAGGTAGTGGAGAGGGAATCAACTGTGGTGGAGTATCGTAGGTTGTTATGACTCGAGCTTATCGAGCAATGGAGTGATGGTATGCTTGTGCCAGAAGCTCTGAAATTGGGCTGCAGTATGGTTCGTTTTGAAGATGTCGGATATATGATATGTTGAGCTGATATGTGAGATTTGAGTGTCACCCTATTTTATGTGATCATTAATGAAGTAACGGTAGATTTCAAAGTGCTTCGTGCGAGCATGGAAGATGGGATTACGTGTTATGGCGATGGGGGTTGATGTGTTGTCAGCGTATTGGTGTTGGATTCAGTGGAGATGTTGCATTATTGTAGTAACTGTCAAAGCCAAATAACATTGGTGGTGGGAGCAGCTTGCGCACGGTCCTCAGCTTTGGTGGAGAAGCGAGCCACCATTTTTTGGTTTTAAACTATCCAAGATACGAGGATGTTGTTAGAGAATGTGCAAAATCCATTGGTCGATCGTCTGTCTTTAGAGTTGTCGACTTAGTCGGAATCAGAGTACGTTCCTAGTTGAGGGTTGTTGTCGGTGATTGGCAGTCCAAATGTGATGGTGCCTTTGAGGCGTCGTAAAATACACTTAATGAGCTGGAAATGATAAAGTAGAGAGAGATGCATATGTTGGCATATGTACTTTACGATGAAGGCTATGTCGGGTTTAGTGATGGTAAGAAGAACTGGAGAGCAAATAAGCTGCCAATATTGTGTGATTTTGGGAAGCACTTGAAGTGAATTTTGGTCGGGATTGAGTTTGTGGGGGAGGGAGTAGAGACAGATTTGCACATAGGCCAAGTTGTTGTAGGAGGGAATGAATGTAGGAAGATTGTGTGAGGTGGTAACCTTGTGATGTGCGGCGTTTGTTGATGCTAAGGAAGGTATTAATCAGTCTTAATTCTGAAAGTTGGAATTCGAGTTGGAGAGTGTGTGAGGTTTGTGATGGCTTGTGGATCGTTTTCGATGACGAGAATCTCATCTACATATGCAAGAAAACAATTGGTGAGCTGATTTTGATGGTGGATGAGTAGGGAAGGGTTGGTGGTGCTTAGTTTAACCCTTTGGTTTGGACGCGATGAATTAGAGTTTGAGACCATTTTCGTGGTGCATGTGTTTAAGCCATTGAGAGCCATTTTGAGTAAGCATACCCTTGTTGGATGCTGAGTGTCTTGGAAGCTTTGAGGTTGGTTCATCTAGATAAGTTCATCCAATGATCCATGGAGAAAGGCATTGGAACCGTCTAGTTGTTGAATTGGCCACTTGTGTTGGAGGTAGTGGATAAAAGAATCCAAATTGTAGGTAGCTTACACCACGGATCCACTTCGTGCCGTAAACTCCTTTCCTTCTCCTTCAGCTTTCGTTCGTTGCCTTCAAGCTCCTCTGGAGATGTCGGGTCTGATTCATCGCTCTAACTCCGTCCAAGGCGAGAAGTCTTCTTCCGCATGTTTAAGCTTTGATTTAACATAAGTTTCATTTTCTTTTTTTCTTTTAGATGTCAGATCCGAAATTACATAGGTTTTGCTCAAGTTTATTTTGTATTCCATTGTTAGGTATGCAATTTACAATGTATATGAATTTCATGGTTTTACATAAGTTTAGGTGTGAGATATGTAAATACATAAGAAATTTGTGCTATATAAGAAAATTTAGGTGTGAGATATGTAAATAAATGAGAAATTTGTGTTATGTATGTAAATATGAAATTTTAGGTTTGAGCTATATAAATACAAAAGAAATTTGTGTTATATATGAAAATATGAAAATTTAGGTGTGAGATACATAAATGCATAAGAAATTTGTGCCATGTATGTAAATATGAAAATTTTATGTGCAATGTTGGAGTATTATCAAAAAGGAGGTTTTTCTTGTTATCCAATGTTTATTTTTGGGTGAAAACAGAGCAAATTCTTCACTTCTGCTCTAATTGTGCTCATCCTTAAAGCCAATGATAAAAAGTGTTGGGATAATTTTAGGCCTATCTCTCTCACCATAGCCATCTTTAAAGTTATCAGTAAATTGATTGTTTCTCGGCTCCAAGCACATCTATCTGCAATTATCTCTCCTCATCAATCTGCTTTCATTCAGAGGAGAGAAATATCTGATAGTATTTTGCTTGCACAGGAAATGTTGGAAGATTTAGTTAAGAAAATGTAGATGTGGAAATTTGATTTTAAAAATGGACATTAAAAAAGTTTTTGACACAATAAGTTGAGATTTTATCCATAATATTTTGAAGGCTAGAGGTTTCTCTCCCAATTTCGGCCATCTTATCAAGCATTGGTTGGAGAATAACCATTATAGTATCTTGGTGAATGGTAAGTCGTATGGATTTTCCTTTGCTAAACGGAGCATAAAACAAGGTGATCCTTTATCCCCAACATTTTTTTATCTTGGCTTTTGATTATTTTTCTCGCCGCATTAATAATTTGAACGAGCTTCATCCCCTTATTCAATATTCTCATTAATCCAAGATTTTTGTTAGCCGCCTCACTTATGCTGATGATGCTATTTTCTTTCCAACGCCATAAAAATTGCTATTAAAAGAATCATGCATACTCGTCATGAATTTCAAGTTACTTCAGGTTTATTCTTTAACAAAGCTAAATGTCATCTCTATTTTGGGAATAAGGTTAAATCTTCAATTATTAACTGGGCAACCTTCTTTATTGGTTGCTAAGCTGCTGCCTTACCCCTTAAATATCTTGGTGTTAATCTCCTTCGAGGTAGAAGGAAACAAATTCAATTAGATGCAGTGGTGGACTGTACTAAAACATAAATTACGGATTGACGTAATATTTTCCTTTCAAATGGGGGTAGAATTACCTTGTTGGAGAGTGTTCTTCATAGTATACCTTTATATGTTATGTAAGTTTTAAACTTGAAAAAGAGCACTAAGAAAAACTCTTGAGCACATTTTTTATAAGTTCCTTTGGTCGGGTGGGGGACAATAAAAAATTTGGGCTGGTTGGCATAAAGTTTGTAAACCATGCACTTCTGGAGGCCTTGATTTTAAAAATCTTCAACATCTTGCAGAGATTAATAAGTGTATACTTTTGTTCAAATTTAGAACTGGTATTTCTTTGTGGGCTAAATTTCTTCATCATAAATATTGCACTCTTTTGCATCCTTTGGTCGTTAGTTGGAAGGTTGGAGACTCTAGAATTCAAAAATCTATTCTTAAAGCTAGGTGTCCAGCTAATCAATATATTTTCTAGGATATTGAAGAAGGTAGGGTTTCTTTTTGGTATGATCATTCGATATTACTGATTTTCATGATATTAATCCCCCTATGCATGAAAATGATTTTTTGGTCTCTCATTAATTGAACAATGGCCATTGGGACTTTGATTTATTGAAGGATTTGGTGGTCTTATGCTGCTCCTATTGCAAACATCCCTATTTCTCCTGATAAGAAAGATATTCCTCACTGGAAATTTTGTTCTACTGTCTCCATCACTAAAATGCTATACAATAATTTGCATAACTTCACGGTTTGGAGGTGAGGAGAAATTATCTGAATGCTCTCATTTCCCCTTCTATTTCTTTCTTTCTGTGGAGATTTTTTCTATCACTGTTGCCTTTGAATGATATTTTGAAGCTAAAATGTTTGAGAATTGCTTCTAAGTGCTATATCAGTGGCAATGCTGAAGAGTCTAAATCACATCTTTTTTATGAATGCTCCTTCTCCCAAGCAATTTGGTTTGGAATTGAGAGGCATCTCCGTATTCTTTGACCTTCCAGTTCTCGAGTTGACAATTATATAGCTGCTTGGAAAGTTTCTCAACATAAAAAAAACTTGCATATTTCCCTTTGAAGGTTCTTTGGTTCATTTGGTCCGCTAGAAACAGTTATAAGTATGCCAACTCCCTCTTGTCCCCTCTCTTACAATCTCACACATACTCTCTAACTATTTTAAGGCTTATCGTACTGCAAAGCTTAACAATTTAGATCCTTTACATCATTTGGGCAAGAGACCATCTCTGGTCCAATTGCAGCCTCCTAGTGATGGCTGGCTAAAACTCAATACTGATGGCAACTGAAGTCACAAGCTACAGGAATTGGAGGTGTTGTTAGAAATGAGTTGGGCAATTATTTATGTCATTTTGCTTCCCCGATTAAGGTGGTAAGCCCACTGGAATGTGAAGACTGGGTTGTGTTGATGGGTATCAAGCTTACAATTATTTTTAACTGCTCTACAATGATTATTGAAACTGATTCAAGACAACTTTTTAAAATGCTCACTAAAGTGGCCAAGCCTGATTGTGATTTATTGTGTCTTCTTAATCGTATATAGAATTTAATCTATGTGGAAAATATTGTTGCAGTTTCCGCCGCTTTGCTATTCACTTAATAGTGGTAGATTGCAAACAGAAAGTTCCAACACAAAGTTGTAGTAGTGAAAATTGCAGTTGGCAATCTGATGTTAACTTCTTTAAATCTAAGACGATCCCACTAGAATCTCATTCACACTCTTTTCTTCTCTCCTTTTTGATCTCGTGGTATTAGGCCTTCGGCAATGCTCGTGGCATTCTTCACCTCCGGCGACCTTGCGACAACTGGTTCAACTCCAACGAATCTTTTAAACCCATTTCTTTTAGTTTTCATGGGCGATTTGTATCCTTTTATGAGAATACAAGGATTGGGTGGTATGCATGCCAATGAAAAAGATTGGTTTTTTAATTTGATGTAAAGGTTAGGTTTGTAAAAATAACAAGTTGGATTTTAGGTATTTAAATACATAATAAATGGGTGGTCAGTATGTAAAAGCCCCTTTACCTTTATATTTGTGTGTGCATGTGTATTTGTGTGACTATATTTTAGTGTTAGCTTTGTAAAAACATAAGAAATTGGGTGGTATGTATGTAAATGCCCTCTTTATTAATATACATGTGTGCGCGCTTGTTCATATATGTGTATATATATGGAAAGGATTGAGTGGTATGCATGTATGCAAATGTCTTAATACATTTAGACACACATGGATGATATCTTAATTTGATGTTTTTATGCAATAGGAATGATTTGAGTGATATGAAGGTAAATATTACAGGTGTTAGATACCTACATAAGAATTAGGTGGTACATAAATAACTCCTTTTTAATTTTTATGCGAAGGTGTACGTGTGGGTGTGCGCTCTCTCTCTCTCTCTCTCTCTCTCTCTCTCTCTCTCTATATATATATATATATAAAAGCATGCAAAAAATTGATTATAGTTTTTATAAGTCCAAATAATAGTAATTTTTATTGACGAACGCTTTAGGTGACGTATAAATTAAAATTTAGATGGTAGATATGTAAATGCATAAAATTTGGGCGACACGAACGTAAGTATATACGATTCTTATATTTTCACGTTGGTCATAAATTAAAATTAAAAGTTCTAGGGAACTGATGAAATAATACATGAGAATGGGGGCTAGGTATGTAGATCTCTAAATATAAATAATAATCCACCCTGCACTCCCATCAAGCTGCTCAATATAATACAATGCATGTGCCATCCGAGTCCTCCCTCCCCTTCCCTTCGCGTCCGCCAATGTCTTCCATCGATCCCCACAGCGGCTTCTGTTCTGAAACAAAAACCTGCCACAGCCTTCGCCCTCCTATCCCCCTCCCTCCGCCTTCCTCTCCTCTC